AAGGAGAAGGAGAATAAGAAGGAGGACAAGGAGGAGGATAAGGAGGAGGAGGAGAAAAAGGAGGAGGAGAAGGAAGAGGAGAAGGAGAAGAAAGAGGAGAAGAAGGAGAATAAGAAGGAGGAGTAGGAGGAGGAGGAAGAAAAGGAGGAGAAGGAGGAAGAGGAGGAGGAGAAGGAGAGAAAGAGAAGAAGGAGAAGTAGAAGGAGAAGGAGGAGAAGGAGAAGGAAGAGGTGAAGGAGAATAAAGAGGAGGAGAAGGAGAAGGAGAATAAGAAGGAGGACAAGGAGGAGGATAAGGAGAAGGAGCAGAAAAAGGAGAAGGAGCAGAAGGAAGAGCAGGAGAAGGAGAAGGAGAATAAGAAGGAGGACAAGGAGAAGGAGGAGGAGAAAAAGAAGAAGAACGGGGAGCCGCCTCTGAGGACGTTTAATTCGACCGTCGTCGTGTGGCCAGCCAGATTATAATTTGATCATTATAATTGAGCAGAACACACAAAATTCTGTAATATAACTTCGTTCCACAAATTCTGCTCATTTCACTAATTCAGAACTACCCCATTTTCGAAAAGTCTTTATTCCGAGGCCATCACTACTTTTGGATTATGCAATTATTTAATGTATTGAAAGCTCCTATTTTGTCTCGAGATGACAACACAATTTCACCGTTGGCGTTGGCTCCCAAAAGGCTGTCTTAATGCGTCTAGTCTGAAATGAATTGCACTTTCCGCCTCTCCTCACCTCAGTCGTGGCTCTCCTGACGACGTAATTACTCCACTTCACAGCAGACGGCAACGATGCCGTACCTGATGACGCCAACTGACAACCGTGACTTTGCTGTCGTCTGACCAGACGTCGGCATCACATTCACGGGCCGAGCTCGAATCCTGTCGCAGATAGGCACTAGCCGATGCAATGAGATGGCAACTGTAATCCACGCCGGACAGGATGAGAATGACTGTTGACAGGCCAGACGAAGTGAATGTCAACGGCATCCTGATGCTTCTTCATGCCAGATGAGTTGTCATTTTCAATCAATTGCTCAATTGGTCTCACCAAAAACGAGTGAAAAGTGGCTTGGAATAAGAGACTGTTGTCGAAATGACAGATTAAGGCTAATCACCGTTTGAAGATACCAAACGAAAGTATGAAGGACAAGATGGTGTGGCCTTTTGTGTCGTCGTTGTATCCACTTTGTGTGACCTTGTTTTCGCAACTGAGTCATGTTGGTAGGAAGACCATTGCATCTATCATCATTTCCAGAATGGGACTGTGGACGTGGTACATTCGCAGACGTTTCGCCGGCGTCCTCAATCAGTCTCGCCATTCTTAGCACCATTCCACAACTCGTCAATGCCACAAGCGAAGCCGATCTGTTGATCAACTTTCAATTTCGTGTAAGCTGATGAAGGACTGGTAGAAGTAGAATTTTCCCACAATCATATGAGTTTAGCTGACGTTTTCCATTCAATTTCACATAGCCTTGCTTTTCCAAAAGTTGTTCTCATCC